CCTTGACAAGCTATCACAAGGGCGTTGACACGGGTAGTGATGACGAGATTGTCTACCCCGGGGGTCGTCTTGCCACGAATACCAATAACGGCTCTAACCTGGGCCAAAGTATCTTTGACTACATAGAAAAACAACACACGCGATCAGCCCTCTTCTACAATTTCCTTTACACCTCGAATTCGGAGCATCCGGTGCTCAGGCCGGTGTCACACCTCCCTAGTCTCGATATCTGGCAGTATTACCTCGAGGAGGAGCTCGCTCACGGCCCTCCTTACGACCTCGAAGTCCTCCAGCAGGATTCTCAGCAGGAGGAGGAGGCCGAGGCGGCTGATGGCATAATCGAGAAGAGCAACAGGAAAGTTGTCACTCAGGGCCATGACTCCGTGCAGGAATTGGTGCCAGATCAATTCTCTCATCTCCTCGAGGAGATTCACAAATTGGAGACTGAATTGGGCCATTTACCACAGAAGTGGAGGGTCTTGTGGGACAAATTGGAGCTGCCCAATACTGATTCTTTGGCGAGAAATGGGAGCTTCAGTACTGCTCTCGTCAGGTACCATGGACGATTGATCCACAAGAGGTCGACCCTGGAGTTGATACTCAGGGGGAAAATGGCCGGTGGAGGTGGGAGTGGGAACAATAATAATGAAGCTAGCGTATACGCTCATCCTCACAGGTTTGAGAGACTTGATACAGCCACTCCGACTCACTGCGATGCCTGCTCTGGTGTCCTCTGGGGACCCGTCAAAGCTGGTCTGAGGTGTGTCGACTGTGGACATGTCTGTCATGACAAGTGTGCCGATGCTGTGCCCAAGAACTGCACCAAATACAAGGCGGTTACTAATAATGTACAGTCGCACACGCTCACTAGGTCTGGGGGAGACAATGGGAGTGTCAATTCTGGAAGCACTATGCAGACTTCGTCGCAGCAGTATTATGAACAGTTCTCCAGCAATGTTGCTGAGAATCGGACGCATGAGGGGTATCTTTATAAGAGGGGAGCACTGCTGAAGGGGTGGAAGCAGAGGTGGTTCGTCCTGGATTCCATTAAGCATGAGCTCAGGTATTATGATGCCATGGAGGACTCACACTGCAAGGGGTATATAGGTGAGTCACAAAAATATTATTTTTCTTGACGATATCACACTATAGATTCAACCGTGGCCTTGAGGGTCAAACGTCCTTTAAGGACGGGTGGGGGTACGGATCAAATGGCCCTGATGTAGACATTGAGGTTGTTGTGGGAACGTTCATTTCACTAACAATGCGATTACGTTAATTAATCATAATATATTTACAAGACGTTGAAGAATATACACAAAAGCAGGGATAGCCAAATTTGTCATATTTTATTATGGTTAATATTGTAGCCCTTAATTAAATAACATAAGTCTTGAAATTTTTTGAGTACTCAAGTATCATCAATTCAAATATTCAAATTTTCAACTATTTTATCAATCAATAATTGAGGCAGGAAGATTGACGATTACTTGTGTAATCGAAAATTTCCTTTCAAGAACTTTGAATTATTCACTTAGTAGTAAATTTACAGTTTCAGATTAATCAATTTTAAATACATCATTATTCGTAAAAAGTCAGATTATTAATATTATACTAATATAATATATTATATTATTGGAAAAATTGAATCAAAATATTTTAAACCTTCATTAATGTAAGGGTCAAATTCTTGTAATATTACAGAAATTTAATATTGATGGGGATCCCTGCACAAAAGTAAAAATGTTACGTAGAAGTCGGGTCGTCGACTTACTGAGTATTCGGCGGTTAGCGCCACACTCAATTCCTATTCGTAATCGGATCAAATGGTCAACGCGAGCCCTTGTGCTAGGATATCGCGAGGCGCTGCACTGAGAGTTAAACGTCCTTTAAGGACGTTCTTTCGGGACGTTTGAAGCTGAGGTTTAAGGGTTGTGAGGGTCAAGCCTCCTTTGAGGACGTTAAGCATGAGAATCGAATGGTCTTGAGAGTCAAACAAGCCTCCAGGACCTTTGGAGTTGAGGGTTAAATGGGTTTGAGGGTCAAAAAACTGGTAAGACCGATCGGGGCTAAGGGTCAAACGTCCTTTAAAGACGTCTGGAACAAAGGGACAAATGGTCTTGAGGGTCAAACGTTCATTACAGACGTTTGGGGCTGAAGGACAAACGGTCCTGAGGGTTAAACCTTTGAGGACGTTTGAAGCTGAGGTTTAATGGTTGTGAAGGTCAAGCGTCCTTTGAGGACGTTCGGGAATGAGAGTCAAATGGTCTTGAGGGTCAACAAACCATTAAGAATGTCCGCGGCAGAGGGCTTTAAAAATCCGTTTTTTTTTTGTAAAGTGTTATTCGCAATGTAATTTAATCAACAAAGTTGAAAATTCAAAATTTCTTCAAATTAATGAATAATTTTTCTCCGCGTGTTGATAAGAATTTCCACAAGCTGTACTAAGAACTGCAACCAAGAATTGTCAATAGTGATTCATCCATTGCCTCTATACCTTTAAAAGTTATGCTTTCATTCATCTATTAAAGATTTGGCTGAAGTCGTGTCAGTGACGCCAGCATCTCCTACACCTGGACCACCAAAGAAAACTGACGATAAATCATTTTTTGATGTAAGTCCGTCGTAATTAAAATAAAGAAAATGCATCCAATTCAATTCATTGAATTGATTAAATTAATCGTTTTCATGTTCTCACAGCTCCGCACAAATCGACGAACATACAATTTCTGTGCAAGTGATGCAGCAATAGCTCAGGAGTGGATTGAAAAGGTTCAAGCGTGTCTGCAGTAGTCTGATAACAATAAATCTGATCTGTATCGAGTTAAATACTCTCTTAAGGTAATGAAAGCTATGGATTATGTATTGAGCGTCACCAAAACTCGTTAAGTTCGCGCAAGGGACTGATAGGATAATTAAAACGATTACAAGGGGGAGAGAAAATAAAAAACAAAATGATGATCGAGAGCGAGACGATGCATTAATTTTGTTACATAATTTTTGTATAGCTTCGTTAATTTCCGACTATATGATAAATTCATACATAAAACGAAATAGTACATAAACGTTAATACTGTAAGGATTATTGTTTGTACATCTTATCATCAATGAAAATGTGTTTAATACAGTTATTTATTTAATTCATTGAATTTATTATGAAGTAGAGAGATGAATGTCGACGCTTAGTGTTTTTACGAGAGCCAGGTTTATATTAATTCCAATATTTGTGTTATAGCAATGTTGATGTCTGTCAGATAATTATGAGCATTAAATTTAAATAAAGTAATGGGATTATCGAGTGTAAGACGGGAGTCGCTAAATTTTTTCTAAGATTGATAGATTCATGTCTTTTTTTTATTATTTTTTTTACGTTCGAATTACGCATTTCGATTTTTTTTTGTATTCTCGATTTTTTTAATAGTTTTATTTTACTTTTCTGGGGTTCAGTGGAGTGAAGGGGTGAAACATTGTGTTCTGTTCAATATTTATTTTGGGATGGGGGTAAAATGGTCTGGAGGGTCAAACGATCCTTTAGGACGTTTGGAGCTGAGGGTCAAATGTCCTTTAAAGACGTTCGGGATGAGGGTAGAATGCTTTTAAGGGTCAAACGACCCTTTGCAATGTTTGAAGTTGAGGGTTAAATGGTCTTGAGGGTCAAAAAATCGTTCAGAACAGCCGGGGCTAAAGATCAAATTATCTTGAGGGTCAAACGTCCTTTAAACGTCTGAGGTTGGGGGTCAAATGGTTTTAAGGGTCTATTAGGTCACAATAGACTGATTAGAATGAATTATTTCACCCTTGATCCTAAGCATGGATTGACTCTCAGAGCAAAAGAAGTTTCTTGAACTATCCTAAGAACAACCAATTCTGTGGGAAATATGATTCTCAAAAAAAAATTACCCAGACTTTTACTTCACATACCACTCGTTCTCAAGATAATTTCAGGATTAATTACAACTTCTAATTTATCTCATTACGTTCTACCGTTCCTCCACTGAATCATCTTCCCTGCAATCCAAAAATCTAGAAGAACGAGTGGCGAGAGAAAAAAATATTGGGTGTGCATTACCAATGTAATGTGACGTATCGAAAGTGTGAAAGACTGTGGTAAATAATTGTCAGTATGTTAAATTAATTATTGATTGTTAATACTCATTGGAAGACTAAATGGAGAACAATATCGCCAATGTTGCTTTCTGGTTGTTGGCCATATTCTAATCATAATAGACAAAATGAATAAATGAATCTGTAATGAAACTGAATAAATCGATATTAATTCATTTGAGGAAAAGTTTAAACAATTTATTCTCTGGATCCTGTGGAGATGCAACATTCTACTGGATTTCTATTGACAATTCTATTAGTTTTTGACTGATTGTAGTGAAAAATTCTGCAACAAATATATATCGAATAAAAATATTTATTTTTATTTATTTATTTATTTGTGCAGAAGCTAAGACAATCTTGAAATATTCCTAAGTTTAGCATATGCTTGGCGAAATAGATTGCTGACCAAAAACATTTCACCTATTTTTTAATAGAGGAATCGGATGAAAACTAATTGAAAGTTCCATAGAAATCCAATAGTATTTTTCGTACGTGAAGAGCTACAAAAATTATCTTGAGATAATTGTTCATATATCCTCTGGTTCTCAACATAATTTCGAAAAATCGTAACATGAGCTGATTTCGATCATCAATAATTTAAGATTAACAGAGTGAAATTCAAATTTCTTTTTTCATTTTAGAGGTATTTTATAAGGCTTCAAAATGAGACCTGATTTATTCCAATCGAGATATTGATAATTTAAGAAGCTCCATTTTATCGCACATGCCCTCAATTTCATTTTACCTTTCTATGAAAATCTATTCAATAATTCGGAAATTTAATGATGATTAATGAATATTTCCTGACGATCTGGTAGTACTGATAGTACGTCATCATGTTTTGAAATTTTTCAAGACATTTTTACCCCTGCAAAAACGCTCCTAACCTCAAAATCGCCATATTTACGAATCAGTCGTCATCTCCTCTGAAATGTATTATTGAATGAATAAAACTCAAAACAGTCATTAATTATGAATAAATTGGTGAGAAATGTCCTCTCGAGTGGCCGGTTGTTCTCTTATAGATGTGCAGTGGGTTGTCAATGTCCAAAGTAGGTAAAATTCCATTTTTAGTAGTGAAGTAAGAAAACAAGGCACGTCAACATCACTTTCAGATCAGTTTTTTGGAATTATCTCCAAATTGAAGGGAAATGGCGAAATTTCCACTCAGACCTTTTTTGTAGAGAAAATCAAGACCTACAAAAAAGATTGAAGTAAAAATTTCGCTATCTCCTTTAGATTCAGAGATATTTGTGGAAAACCCCAATTGTTATAGAGTTAACTTGATTTTTTTAATTCAACATATCTTTTAGTCTGATTTTCTACAAATATCTGTCAGTCTAGAGGGAATATTGAAATTTTTCTTCAAAAACCTTGTGAATTTGACAGAAAATTCTACGTTTTCCAATTTTTTTTTGTGTAATTTTTTTACTGAAAAGAAAAAAAATTAAAATGACAAAACCAGACAATTTGAGGCGGGGAAATTCCGTAGAAAAAATCTCAATAGAATAAGTTATATGGAAAAATCTAATTCTATTGACTTTTTTGATAAAATATTGTCTGCTGAACATTTCAATACAATCGATCAAAAACTACACAGAAAAAAAATTATTTTTGCCAAACATTCATTTACTTGGGAGAAGTATTTATTTTTTCAACATCGTATTTCTCCAATTGAGTCATTCCCAGGCGAGCCTGTTTAGGTTTCAATTATGACAATCATATTGCTGCAACCCGCATCTGACCGACTATGGCCCAAAACCGTCGCAGAAATTATTACTATAACGGTCGAAAAACTGGATTTATTGACAATCATATTGCTCTAGAGCATGACTATGTTGCACATTTCAGTAAAATTTTCTAGCGAATTCGCTAGGTTTCCTATTGAATTTTTTCATACGTGAATATAATTTTCATAATTGAAACGTACTAAGGATTGTCTGGAAATGAATCGACTGGAGAAATACAGTATTGAAAAAATAAATACTTTTCTCAAGTAAATGAATAGTTGGCAAAAATAATGTTTTTTTCTCCGTGTAATAGAAAGTTCAATAGAAATCCGGTAAAATTGCCTAGCGAATTCACGAGGTTTTTCTATTAAATTTTTTCGTATGTGACGCATTACTCGGTACTCCCAAGCAACTGCTGCCATTCTCCCCAGATTCACCAGGGAATTGCACGTCGACTACAGAAATCCTGACGTCCGCGGTTGTCTTCAGTCCCCAAAACCCCTAACTCAACTCCAAAGGAATATGTTCATCCAAACGCAGGACACACCGAACCCCAACAGCCTGAAGTTCCTCCCCGGCGTTCCTGTGATGGAGACTGGACAGACCAAGGACTTTCCCAATGCCACCGAGAGCTACTGCTCACCCCTTGCGAAGATGCTGTTCAGGATCGAGGGGGTTAAATCCATTTTCTACGGCCCTGACTTCATCACTGTGACGAAGGTCGATGAAGATGTTGACTGGAATCTCCTGAAACCTGAAATATTCGCGACAATCATGGACTTCTTCTCGACGGGGCTGCCCATCATAACGGAGGAACAACCGTCCTCTGATACACGTAATTGTCTTTGAATTTCAGGATTATTATGAGGATTTCTGAGGTAAAGCTAGTGCAGTTGCTAGAAAATTCTGTTGGACTTCTGTTGATTTTTTGCCGATTTTTTATTGAAAAATTCTCTAGCTTTTCTTCACTTTTTTGCCAGTAGAACTTGTTTTATAGAAACTATTTTCGCAGATGAAATCAGTAGTTTGATCGTTCTATACAACTCTATTGAATATTTTCTATGAAAATTCCTTGACATCAATTTTTCAAGTTTTATTTACTTGATTTTTTCTCTTCTCATAAAAAAGGATAAACAAAAAAATGAAATGAAACAATAAATTTTGTTTTCAAAATATCTTTATATTGATTTGTTGTAGAAATAAGTGAAGACGATGATGAGATTGTCCAGATGATCAAGGAGTTGCTGGACACTAGAATCAGACCTACGGTTCAGGAAGATGGTGGGGACATAGTTTTTGTGGTGAGAAAATCATTGAATACGTACAAGTGATTTTAGAAAAAACTTAGTCCTTTTGTTTCTGTTCCCTTTGAGCATTTTTTCAGAAATCCGATTTTTTAAAAACGAATCCTTCTCCATCGTTTCAGGGGTTTGAGAATGGAATTGTGAAGCTGAAGATGCAGGGCTCCTGCACAAGCTGTCCCAGCTCAGTAGTGACCCTCAAGAATGGAGTGCAGAATATGATGCAGTTTTATATTCCTGAGGTGCTTGGAGTCGAGCAGGTGGAGGACGAGACCGACAAAGTCGCCAAAAAGGAGTTTGATAAATTGGAGGAGAAGATAAATGTCAAGGGATCAGAGAACGAGAAATGAAGTCATTCAATCTAATAGTGAAGTTATAAATCATAAGAGCACCTTTAATATTTTATACTAAATCTCCATTCATCTGGGAAACGAGTAATTTTAGAAGAAAATGTCGCAAGACTTTTTTGTAGAGAATTAAATTTTCGACAAAAAATCCTTCTCTACATTTTCCACTAAAACTTTTTATTCAAAAAATAATTGAATGGTGTTTCCTTACGTTTTATCACTTCGCTACTGATTTCCCCCTGAATTTGTCAAATAAAAATAATCAAATACTGTACTATAACTAGATAAATAATTAGAATAATAACGAGAGCAATTCTACAGTTTTAATTGTTTTTTCAATTTTTTTATTTCGTGGTTTCATGAAAAAAACGAAGATTTTTTTAACCACAAATTGGAAAATGTAGAGGAAAGAATAAACTACACTGGATTATTGTCTGTGCTTGTGCTTGAACCTGTGCCTCAGGTTTCGTGATAATTAAATACATAGTTATATTGGTTTCTAAAATATTCCATGTTGGAAACTCTAAACAGATGTGTACGTCCACGTGAAAAGGGCCCACTTTGTCGCATCTAGTTTCCGAGATATTCACGTTTTTCTCTCCACATCTCCCATTTAAACCAATGTTAAATTGTTTTTTTGATCGTCTATACTGACGTCAGTTTTCATTCTATCGGGTTGATTTCGGGCTCAAAATGTGAGAAATCTGATCAAGATTATCGGAACATACATAACTCCAATACCGTCAAAGTGGGCCCTTTTCATGTGGACGCCCACAGATTATTAAGTTCATAGAACATATTATGTCACCGCTACGTCAAAAGTACGTTGAGATTATCTGCATATGGTCATAATATCCAAATTATTGCTTTGGTTTGCGTGCAATAATTTGCATATTATGACCATATGCAGATAATCTCAAGCATTGTTCAACAGTCTGTCCCCAAAAAATATTTCTCTGAAAATCTGTAAGATACCCCCTACGGTCGAACTTCGGCCGCCCCGCTGTCTTGCTTTGGTTGCTGTCTCTCATTTCCTTACTAGATACCTCGTTTCCCCTATTTAATTCACTCGCCGGGCCACAAATTAACCGCTGCTAATGCAATGAATTATTATGATTAGGAATTAATAAACTGCGCAAATGCGTTTTATTTTACTTGTTCTGACGAAACGTCATTTGTAGCCTAAAGAAAATGCTTGGATTCTCAAAGCACAATCCCACCCCTCAAATTTTCAGTAAAAATTCACTATCTCTCTCAGTTTTGGAGATATTTTCGAAAAACTGACCGACAAAATTTTTTTGGTTGTGGATTCCCAACACGCAACCCGTTTTACCCCACCCCCCTCTAAATTTTCAGTAATAATTCGCTATTTCCCTTAATTTCGGAAATATCTTTGAAAAAATCACCGATTCAATTTTTTTCAATCAAAATATGTATCAATCAAAATATGTATATCCGTTCAGTTTCCCAGATATCCCCGTTTTTAAAATTTTTCCATTCTTGTACGCACAATATTTTGATAAAAATAAAAATAGCAAGGTTAGTGTTTTCTTCGTGGGCTCAACCGGGCGAACAGTTTCGGAGATATTCAATCTTTTGTATAAATCCATTTCGAATTTTATACTATACTGTAGCAAGCTAAATAACTAGAATAATAACGACAGCAACTCGACTGTTTTAATTGTTTTTTCGATTTTTTATTTCATATTTTCATTAACAAAATGAAGCTTTTTTTAACGGCTAGTGACAGACACTTGCCAGACACGGATCGTGTGATCAGAGTATCCAGCGAAGAGGGTCTGTCCGTCAGTGGACCACGCCAGGGAGAGACACTGGGGTGGCTCGGCCTTGCTCGTGGTGGATACGACCTCAGGCTTGAGCTCCTCAACCATTTCTTTGCTCTCGAGATCCCAGATCTTGATCCAGGGCCCAAATGCAGCGCAGAGCCAATAGCGGTTTGGACTGAAGCACAGGGCTGTGATGATGTCATTGTGGTCGAGGGTGTGGAGGTGCTTGCCATCGTTCAAGTCCCAGAGCATGGCTTTGCAGTCCTGAATAGAATAGTTTCATGGTTTTCTTGTCATTCAGGGTCATTTTTTGAGGATATTGAATTTTTTTTCTGTTTTCCTTTGTCAGTCCCATATCCGCAAACACTCATGGTCATCGTTAGTATTAGCTTTTTGCATCATTCAAATTTTTTGTGATTAATCGTTGAAGGGGGGGGGGGGTGAAGTGGAGAATAAAACACCAGGAAAAATGACTATTTACTACAATTTGAGAATATCGTTCTTTTTTGTTTTTAGTTGAGGGTCAAACTCTTAAATCGTTTGAAGTTGAAGGTCAAATATGCTCTTGAGGGTAAAACAATTCTTAAAAACGGGGCAATGAGTGGGAATGTTGATCAGTAACGGTCAGTCGACCGTTAATTCTACAACTTCAAACGCCCTTAAGGGTCGTTTGAGCCCTAAGACCAGTTGACCTTAATAGTGATTTTTCCTGGCGTCATTACCTGAATTTTTTCCTTTTTCCCTATTCTATAAATATCTCAGAAATTATTGCGTTTAGACAAAAATGTCAGATCTTTTTATAGCCTAAGAAATTCTCCACAAAAAATATTTTATATTCCCGACACAATCTAGGAATTGGTTTCAAACTTCATCAGCTCATTAAATTATTTTAATATTCACCTTTCCACCAGATGCACACAGGGAGCCATCAGGAGACACTGTGACAGTGTTCAAGTATCCACTGTGTCCATTGTGGTTGATCTTCAGACGACAGTTGGTCAAGTTCCATACCTAATTCCGAATAATACGAGAAAAAATCATTAGAACACAAATTTTCCTTTTTTTTTCAAAGAAGAGGATAAATCAATGATTGTAAAACATATTCAGTGTTGAAAATCTATTTTACCTTGACGATTTTGTCCCAACCAGCAGAAACAATGATTGGATTGGTGTGGTTCGGTGAGAAACGAACACAACTGACCCAGTCACTGTGTCCCTCATCCTGAATTGTGTATTTGCACTCGGCCAATGTATTCCACAGCTTGATCGTCTTGTCCCTGGATCCAGAGACAATTTGACGGTTGTCAACGGAGAAGGCGACACTCAGAACATCCTAGGAAACCCAACAATTGACTCTAAATATGTCGTCGCGGTGATGATTACAGCGAAGTGGTAATATTTTGAATTTCTCAGTCCCATATCCGCAAACACTCATGGTCATCGTTGGTATGAAAGTTTTGCATCATTGTAATCACAAAAAAAGCATGCTGTCACAACTATTCCTCTTTAATTTTTGTAAGGAGAAGTCGGAGAATTTTGTAGTTTTCAATTATTTTAGCGATTAATGGCTTTAACAGAAATGGTGAGGATTTTTTTCAGCATTTCATGCTTAATGGGCAATTTGTCTTGTTTTGAGCTATTAATTTTCAAGTTTTTTTGAAAAATAAGAGATTTAGGGAAAAATGTCGAGCCATTAAATGCTAAAAAAAATATTTTGAAATTTTTTTCTCAAAAGAACCTTTTAAAGATGTTCAAGGAATAAAACAACTTCTATTCAGTTTCAAAACAGCAATTTTTTGAAAATTCTGTGCTATTAATTTTGAGAATATCAAGATACTTTTTTTACACTTCATAAAATTCTTATACAAAAGAAATACCCCCGGACATATATCCATAAATCGTTTCCTCCTGAAGATATTTACAAAATCAACAATTTCGAAACGAAGAAAACCTTAAATAGAAAAACCTAGCACAGATAATTTTGCAAATGTCTCAAAATCGAGTCGTTTTATCGAAAAATGTCATAAGATCTTTTTTGAAGCTTATGAAATTCTCCCCAAAAAAATTCTCTAATTTTTCTCTAAATCCTTTCCTCGCGGAGATATCCCCAAAGTAATTGAGGTAAAATCCTCGACTCCATAAATTTACCACTTCACTTAAAAAAATCAACAAGAAAAAGAAAGGTCAAAATAATTACATCTAAAAAATGCAGACTGAATCAAGAAAATACTCAACCCAATACTTACAGCATTGGCTCATCATCTTCTATTAATTATAAAAAAAAATAAAAAAAAAAGCTTCAGTTCGTAAAATTCCTGATCAAAAGGATCTCAGGTCGAGTTGATTCTCAAGACAACGAGATGTGGTAATATCACACCTTGGTATGGTCTTCGAACCTCCTCGTGGTGCGTCCAGCAGCGAGATCCCAGAGACGAAGGGTCTTGTCCCACGATCCCGAGAGGGCGTAGTTACCGTCGGAGGAGAGCACCACGTCGCTGATAAAATGGGAGTGACCGTACAGACGCTTCTGGGGGATACCGTAGTTGGTCTCGTCACGAGTGAGCTTCCACACAATCAGAGTCTTGTCTGTGGACAAATTAACGAAAGATTTTTGGGGGAATTGAAGTCATTGGTGATGGGGGAGCGGCGAAAGGGTTGTTTGACCCTGAAGACCATTTGGTCCTCACCTAAAAATCAAAAAGAAAATGTTTTCTTAATTTGACTAAATAGTCGTTTTTTCTGGTGTCGTTTTCCCTGCTCTCCTCTGCTTGAATTAATTTACTCTTTTTTAATTCATTAATAAAATATAGAATTAAAAGAACATTCGACAATTGCAAAAGCTACAAAAAAGGTCCTCATAAAAATATTGCAGACTATCATTTTCTTGAAAAAAATTTCCTTTTCAATTAATGTTCAAGCGAAATTTACTTATTCTTATTTTAGACAATTTTCCAATGTCAAAAGCAACAGTGATAAAAACTACGTAGAGACATGTCGATAAAGAATGAAATGTGCGAAAAATAATTGTGAAAATGAAGCGAATTCGCTACGTTTTTCTACTAAAATTTTCCATTCATGTTTTCCTGAAAAAAAATTTTTCTTTTCAACGGATGTTCGAGTGGAATTCACTCATTTTTTTCTAGACAGTTTCTCGATGTCGAAAGCAACAATGATAAAAATTATGTAGATAAATATCAATGAAGAATGAAATGTGCGATAAATAATTATGAAAATGAAACTGATGAACTTCTTGGACCCCAATGCACACTGATAGAACCATTTACTTGCTGCTAACGAGCCTTCTTGACTATTAACACGACATGTTAAGAAGTCTTGTTAATAGCAACAAAATCGTTCTGCCTTTTCTATCAGTGCAGGGCAGATGGAATCGTCGCGTCTTGCCACTTACCACGTGAGGACGAGAGAATCATATCCGGATATTTCGGATTTGTCGCAATTTGCGTGACCCATCCATTGTGTCCCCGCAAGGTACCCTTCAGCTGAAGTGTTTCACTCATTATTAATCACAAACTGCAGTTGTTAATTAATGGATTAATGTGGATTCGATAGAACGATCCACCGTCCACGACACGCTGCAGGGAAAAGACCCCGGCGGAAACGATGCGCAATGGCGTTGGGCTCGGCTTCACGGGATTGGCCGAGATCCGCCGGAAACTACCGATGTCACGTTCGGCAATGTCCGGGGAAGGGGGACTTGCGCGGTATCTACGCGGAAGTGGACTTCGCAGTTTTAAATATTTTTTCTAATTGAAAATTGATTCGTCATGGAAAAAATTGCATAGGAAAATTTAATTCATTTTAATTATAGAAAAAAAAAAACAAAAGGATCCCATATTTCCATACAACTCATTCGATGGAGATACCCTGTCTAACAAAAGGATGGGCAATATCTCGAATCGAAAATTATAAATTGAACATAGTGGATATCTCGAACGAATGGAGAAAATAAGACAGTTTTCATGACAGTTTTCATCATCTCAAAAGAGAATCGAGTACCATTTTATGAAACATGAATGAACGAATCATAATAGTCAAAATCATGTAGGTCAGAGGAAAATAGAATAATTCTATTTTCTTAATATTGCGTTTAATATTGGTTTTCTTCGAACAAAGTCGATTAGAATTAATAGCTAAAATTATGAGATTGTCTGACTTTTTTTACGCTGAGGACAGGAGAATCTGAATGCAATATAGTGAAAACGATGATCGATTTTTTCACAATGAACAAATAATATTAATATCCAAATACAAAATTTCTGATATGAATAAAAAGAAGCTGTGACTCAATATTCCAAATGAAGTTTTAATTTTTAATTTGCTGCTGAAAACACGAGATGAGAATGTTCTAAGCACAGAATTATATTGATGAGATGAAGAACAGATTAATTGAATTACCGTGTGAACTAACTAAAAATTGATAACAGTGTGGGCACGCAGTTTTAGCAGAGTATCAACAAACATTGAATTCCAGAAATTCACACTCTAAAGTGTGTTCTACAAAAAATTGCATTGCAATTATGAATAAAATCTTACTCAGTGAGCATAGAAATTGGAACATGAAAACCGTTTAATTCGACTTATCTCCCAGTTGAGTTTTTAAGAAATATTTCCGAATCTAAGGGAGATAGCGAAATTTCCGTAATTACATTTGTTGTAGCTCTCAATCGGCTCTGCAAAAAACGTTATAATAAAAATTTTGCTATCTCCTTAGATTCCGAGATATTCATTGAAAACTGGTCAATAGTCAAAATCGACTTAAACCGTTTTACCACTTCGCTACTGAATTATTGTAATATGAAAATTTAACAGCTGATAAATTGGGACGTGTGACTCTCATCGGTCGTATTGCTTATGGAAAATGTCTGAATGGAAAAGGTTGTACACAAAGATGAAATACAGATGATTTTTTCTATAAAATAGTCTCTACTAGAAATTTTCATTTAAGAAACGCACAGTAAAGGTGCGAAGTTCTTCAATAGAATCGGCCAAAAACTAATAGAATTTTCAACAGAAATTTACTAAGAATTTTCTATCGAACTCGCTAGGTTCTAGTGCATTTTTTCATGCGCATTGCGCGCGTATGTTTCAAACAAGGAAAGCGAATGAAGAGACATCTGAAGGTTTTTGTCATTTTTGAATACCAATTTCTGCTTGTTTGTGGCTTCTCTGATTTTGCTTCGATTGATAACTAAATATTTGATTGTAAAATGGGTGAGAATGTTCAGGGGACCTTCACGTCCGAGAAAATCTCGAAAATTCGGTGGCGCAGGGAGGATTTCACTGAGGCCAAGTCCTTTGTCACCGGCAGTTGGGACAATCCTGTAAGTTAACCTCGAAAATATTCAATTGCAATCGACTATCAACACTTACAAACATCAATAACTCGAGATCGGCAGAGTGAAACCGATAATTTTCATTCATTTCTGAGAGTTTTTTTCTTATTTTCAAAATGAATTTCAAGTCACTCGAATCGCGTCATTTGGTCAGTAGGTATTGATGATTTAAAGTAGCCTATTTTATCTTACTTTATTATTACTATTTCGGCTGTTATTATTTGTCATGACGTGTTCATTATTATTGTTTACGAATAGATCAATAATATCGTTCATTGGACATTTGAAACTTCCGAGGATGATGAGACGTACCCAGTAGTGGATTCCACGTTCTCTTTTCAAGGGGATGTAACAGAAATTGAGGTAATTATCCGCAAGTTAAACGCTTTCATTTCGATTCATGTATGAAAAAATTTTCAGAAAAACTTTGGGAATTCGCTGGGAAATTCTGTTGGATTTTCTGTTTATTTTTGTCCGATTCTATTTAAAGCATTAGAAATGAAAAAAAAGAATTAAGATAACAACAGAAATGTTCAATAGAAATTTTTTCTATATAAAAAAAGTTGATAGAATGACATTTTTCTCAAATTTGGTCAATTTTTCATGTTTTTTTGTTTGATTTCTCTGGTGAAAAGAGACGAAAATAGGGTGAAAAAAAATCGGTGAATTCATGTTGAAGAATTTCTTTAGGAAATGTCTCAGTAGAAAAAGTTGCACAGAAGGAAGAAATTGTACTGATTTTGTTCGATAAAATATTTTATCGGACATTTTCTGTTAAAAAATGCGCAGTAAAACAGCGGAATTGAAAAAACAACAAATTTTCAAAAGAAATTCAACAGAATTTGTATCGAATTCGCTAGGTTTTTCTATGAAATTCATCCTCGCGTGTGTAATTTCATTTCCATTAATTTAATTCACAATAACTCTGAAAATTACGTTCCATAAACATCGACACAATTTTTCTTCTTTCTTGCAATCTCCAGCCTTAAAATATATTCTTAATGTCTTACTTTGTGGTGCTTTCACCGGAGGAAGCTAAAATATTTAGCGAAACGTCCCATCTATGACAAATTAACGAACGTCGTTACATTATTTCTCCAATTTTTCCTTTGATCCCAAGTGAATATTGATGAACATTGAGGTGGACAGTAAAATTGATCATCTTCTTGCTGTTATTCTCCCTTTTCAATTTTTTTTCCACCAAATAATTCGTCGCTTCGATAAATTGATCAGTTCATAGACAAAAATGCATTCGTGGCTTCTTCCTCCATCGGTTCAGTGAAACTCCTAGGAATAAATGAAGCTCCTTACGGTGAATTCAGGGAGCTCATGTCCTGGGAGTTTATCCACCAGTTCAGCACTGGTGACCACGCGCCGTGCACGGCATTGACGACATTCAATCAGGACATTGCGACTGTGGGAGAGGACGGAAGGATAAATCTCCTGACAGCCCAGGAGAGGAAGCCTGTGAGGACTATAGAGAATGCCGACAGTTGTTCCCTAGTCTGCATCGATTTCCTGAGACACAATGAGATCCTCACGAGTAATAGCAGAGGCCATATGAAGTTGTGGGACTTGAGGAATGATCGAGATACACCAGCCACCACTTTCATGCTGCCAGATCAATTGAAGGTCGTTATTATGCTCATTTTCACGTGAATTTTGGTATTTTTTACTTCTGAATGGAGGCTTTTTAATCGTTCTAATTTAAGTTTTCAATTTTTGGGTTATATTAATTCTATGTTCTATATTCTATGTTTTTGAGGCCGTCCAACTTCCAAGTTTTACGGGCCGTTATCCCTTTTAATCGGGGCGTTTCGTTTATTAGGAGGTGGATAATGTCGAAAAAAAGGGTGGTTATCCCTTTTAATTGGAATTTTTTCTTTAATAGCGGGAGTCGATTGTAAAGGTTATAAAATTCGATGGAGAAAAAAAATGGCCGTTATGTCTCTTCATTAGAATTTTTTCCTTAATAGTGGGAATCGATCGTAAAGATTATAAAATTTGAGAGTCACTTTTTCAAATGTCACTGATTGACGGCCAGTTTTGGGGTGGGGGTCCTTCAAGAATGTTTTAATTACCAGCGGAAAAAAAAATGATTTCGGTTATATTAATCCATTATGATGCAAAAAATCATTTATTCCAAATATTTTCAAAAAATAAAAGAGAATTGAATTCCATTCTATGAAACATGAATAAACGAATTATAATTGTCCACATCATTTAGGTCAGAGAAAAATAGAATAATTCTGCTTTATTAATATTGCATTTACTAAGATTTTCTTCGAACAAAGTTGATTGGAATTAGTAGCTAGAATTATGAGATTATCTCACATTTTGGACGTTAAGGGCAGGAGAATCGGAATGCAATATAGTGAAAATGATGATCGATTTTTTCACTTTGAACAAATAATATTAATATACGAATACAAAATTTCTGATATGAATAAAAAGAAGCTGTGACTCAATATTCCAAATGTTTTAATTTTTAATTTGGTGATGAAAACACGAGACAATATTCTAAGCACAGAATTGTATTGATGAGATGAACAACAGATTAATTGAATTGCCGAGTGAACTAACTAAAAATTGATAACAGTGTGGGCACACACTTTTACCAGAGTATCAACAAACATTGGAGTCCAGAAATTCACACTCTAAAGTGTATTCTAGAAGGAATTGAATTGTAATTATGATTAAAATCTTATTCAGTGAGCATAGGAATTGGAACATGAGCAAATCATTTATTGTAATATGAAAATTTAATAGCTGATTAATTGGGACATATGATTCTCATCGGTCGTATGGGTTTTTGCAATGAGAATATAATTATAAATAATCAATTGGAAAAAGGGCATAATGAGGGGCCGTCAACACCGCTAGTATAATGAGAAAAAGGATGCAGAAAATCTGAAAAAATCGTACTCAGTGCATCTCAATTGGAACAATTTTTGAGATTTTTCACCTGTCTCAATTTCCATTAAAAAATGTCCAAAACTCAAAAAGTGAACATTTTTAAAAAGCCTCATTTAGGTATATTTACACACATATTCAGCATTTGTAAACCGAAATTCAAGTCAATCGATTGAGAATAGTGTCAGGATGGCATTTTGAAGATTCCATCAATAAAAAAAATTTAAACCCAATTTCTATGTTTAAAAATTAAAATTGAAGTAGTAAACTCCTCAGCACAATAGATAAAAGCCTCTGCGATTTCGAAATTTCAGTGCAGTCTTCCTTAAATCAAGTAAAAAAAAAATAAAGAACCCCTTGGGATGAAATTTTCGTTAACAAAGTAAAAACTTTCAATTTATTCCCAAAAAATTATTTCTAATTTTTCTGGGACTCAGACCGAGGCAACGGATATTGCTCACCACCCAACCCAGAGGCACATCGTGGCAGCAGGTGGTGGTGATGGTAGTTTGAGCGTCTGGGACCTTCGCCAAAGCACATACCCCATCTCTCAACTCCTCGCGCACTCACGAGCTATCGCAGAAGTGATGTTCCACCCAGATCGACCGGACAATCTATTCACGTGTTCTGTTAATGGGGAATTGTGGCATTGGAATGACACCCAAGGATCAAAACTAAAGCTGGGTGATTGTCCAACAGAATCCAATTTGATAGTTGGTTGAGGGGAGGGAGGTCTGATTAAGTTCTACTGACAATTGTTGGTTTTTCAGAGGGCGGCGAGAGCCACTGGCTGACGACCAGAGGAATTGACGGGAAAATGAATGTCTCAGCTTTGTGTGCACCAATGCACAAACCCGTAAACAGTATCGACATCGACAGGTCAACATTACTATTCGGTTGTGATAACGAAGCTATGTACGTCGTTAGGAATGTTGCTGTATGAATTTGTCAATTTTTTTTAATCTTTAAATGAAGAAATAAACTTTTTCAATTATTAAAATAAATTTCAATTAATGAAAATTCGATAGAAAAATTATAGAAATTCTTAACAAATCATCATTTTCAAACATGAAAATAGAATGCAGAAGAAGAGAATTGCTCATATGAGACAAATTGAAAATAAAATAGTTGTTTTAAGTAAAATAAACAAAATAGTTGTTTTAATTACAAGAGTTTTTAAAAAAAAGTCGAGAAAAATAAAACGTGACATAATTTTAAAAATTCAAGGTATTCAACTTTTTGTTTTTCAAAAATTCGGTATTATGAGCACCGAGGGATTGAAAAAAAAATTACTCAAAATATTCTTGTGAATGGTAGAAAATCGAATACTTTCACGTGTCATAAATCAAAATCGGATGAACTCAATCGAAATGGAGTTATTGAGAAAAAACGAAAAAACAAAGAAAAAATCCCATCTCCAAAATGGGCTGTTAAAAAAATCTGAAAAAAATTAAGATAGTTTTTCTAGTCCCCCAATCGTTAAAAAAATCGAGATCAATTTTCAAGAAGGGGAGGGTCAGCCGTTGGTTCATTTGACATGGTAGGGAAAGGTGGGCTAAAACGGACACTTTTGATTTTTTAAAAAATGTTAATAAGGGATTGAAATGTTGATGAAATTTAATAATTTTTTTTTTCAGTGCAAAGAACAAGTCTTTGTGACGAGGCTAAACTGAGCTCAATTGATCAATTTGTTTCTGAGCTATGAATAATTAAAGAAAAGTTTAAAGTGTCCGTTTTACCCCACCCTCCTTTATACCTCATATAATTTAATGAAGTGCAATTAAAAAAAAAAAACCAAACCTTTATCGACTCAGTCCTAAATTGGTGGATTTCATTTGTCTTCAATTCCTCGTCTCCGAAATTATATCCGTCGAATTGCTCGCAATAAATTGATCCGATCAATTAGCCTAGATATTCAAAATTTTTAATTTTTTCCTCATTGAAGTAGTTTTGAAGAAAATTGCGAGCTAATAAAAAACATTTGCTAGTTAGTACGTTTTTTAAAATAAATTTTTGGAAAATCACCTCTATTTCATTGTTTCCAAAAAATTTTATCACCAATCGATAGCAAATTGTTTGAAGATTTTTGCGAGTTAAGAAAAAATCGTCAATGCACTCCTATTATTGTGTAAATTAACAATTCCAATTTCAACTGAAAAACAGAGTTGATGACCAGAGTTTGTAACAGAGATGTCAGACAAGTTATAAATGTTTTTTTTTTTGGCTCAAATGAAAGAACGGCTCGAAAAATAGCGTGCAGAAGTCTTTAAAGATGACAAATGTCTCTAAAGATGATGTCTGTTTTCAATTGAAATGCGCAATTGTGACAACATTGTCCAGTGGGGTCTAGGAGTATC